ATGCAGGGGTGCTCATGATCCAGGAGGCTCTGCTGAGAGGGACTGATCCTGGGGATAAATCTCTTCCCACCCTTCCTGCTTGGCTGGTGTCAGAGCCTGACCCTGGGGAACAGAGATACCTCATGGCCTCTTGCTAAATTGTGCCCTTTTAGAGCTAGTTTCCAGGCTTGCCCTCATTTATTTTCAGAGCATCCCTGCATTGGGTCAGTACATCTTTTATTTGGGCTAACCCAGTTTTTCTGTCTTTGCTTTACCTGAAGATGGCTGGGGAAGTAGCCCTCCTCTGTGTGCTGAAAAGACACTCTCCTTCCCCACTTAAAAAGCAGCACATTCAGTTCCTCCTGGGGAAAGAGAAAAATAATTCTCTTCTCCCACCCTCTTGCCCAACTGCTTGTGGTACCAGGTCAATAGTTTCATTTCCAACTCTCTACATGCAAAGCCACTCAGCCTGTCACTATCAAAATCACATTTTTAAAGCAAGATGTTTCTAGAAAGAAAAGCTCTCTGCAGGGAAAATTGAATCTGGCATCAAATTTGCAGCAAATTTTCTTCCTCTCTGTGCCTTGTGCAGGTAAAAACAGAGAAAGCAGCATTGTTATTGGGGGCTACGCACCCCATGATGCCCATGGGCACTGCAGATCCTCTCTGAAACCATGGCAGGCTCCCAGTTGCTCTATGATCTGCAGCAAGTGTAACCCGAAAGGCTGCCACTCTGCGCTATCCTCTTGCTTCCCACGGGAAAATGGGACAAACCCCTCCACCAGGACTGCTTCAAGCAGCTGCTTGACTCAGACAGCTGAAAAATACCAGGGAGAGAGGCGCTTATCTCCGTTTGCCCACTACTAGAGGTCATGGCCTGTATTAAACACATCTTTCTGACAGCATGCAAGGACAGCCAGGGAGGAGCTGGCCTAAGCAGGGAAAGTTTTGACTGTCAAAAACCCATATCACAAAATATGCAAAGCAGCAGGAGCTAAGTGCTTCCCCAAGGTAATGAAGAGTGGAAGAAAAGTCATGCAGGACTAGTCAAATTTGATGAGCTCCTGTGAATGAAGCTAAGCCAGAAAAAACACGTTGAAAAGCATGCTGGCACAAAGACGTCCCCAGTGCTGCTCAGAGGTTGTCCAAGGAGAAAAGCTCTGGTGCTTTCCCATGAACCTTACTTTTTATCCTACTATACCTGCACAGGTGTGCAAATCCATGAGTAACTTCAAACAGCCAGGGATGGTGTCTCTTGTCTTCTTCAACACATTCATCACAGTTAAAAGCTGCCAGTTGCGAGAGAGAGATTTTCTGGGGAAAGGGAAGATTTTGTTTCTCAGGAAATGTAGCTTTTGCTACAGATCTAGATGATCCCTGGTCTTCCCATCTGCTTAGGCAGAGGAGACATGTTTCTCCAAACAGGACTTCCTCACTTCCTCTTGATTTACTTGTCAGCATACTACAAGTGCATTAAACATGAGCACTAGCACACTGTATGCTGGTTGTGGAGCCATCTCCTGTTTGTTGGAGCTTAAAAATATTCAGAAACCACCCCAAGCCCCTCTCCTAGCTGCCATCAGCTGGGTCTGAGAGGCAGGTGGCTGTATAATTGCCAGCAATGCTATAAAGCATTTTGTTTAAAAAAAAAAAAAAGAAAAAGAAATGAATCCCATTACAGTGGATTCCATTATATACCAGAACTGCATTTGGAGTTTTTAGATAGTGGCCCTGGAAAGCCCTACCGATAGGATTTAATTATTCAGCTGAAGTCTGAGGTGCCTCCACTTTACTGAGCCCTGCAGCTGCATCATTAATAAGATTTCTATCTAAAGCACCTCCCTCCTGGGTCAGGTAAAAGACACGGAGTTATCAACAGTATTCTGACTCTGGGCTTTGCAGGACACGAGGTGCAAATGTAATCAGACACTTGTGACAGGACATGAAGCTAAATCAGCTCAACAGAAGTGTCAAGCCACTGTGGCAAGAGGATGCTGGGAGCACTGTGGGCCACTGCAAAGCTCATGGGCCCTGGCACCATGCTGAGTGGGGCTGGCATCCCCTCGGGAGAGTGCGTGCCCTCCA